TGCACGACAGGCAGAAACTAACCCCCGACGGTCTGACGTCTCTGCACTCTCAGTAACTGTCCAACATATCACAGGCAGACCACTTCACACCCAAGCAAATGAGAGCTGAGGAGCTCAGATTTTAAGTGTAAGTTTTTAGATAAAAGACAAAGGTCTCCAAAAAATACCACCTGTGGTTAGAAAGTGAGCAGTGGGCACTTTCAGACACGAAGTCCACTCATTCAGATAATCTAAGATCAAATCTAGTTAACTATTTCTCCTGTATTTGGACCGGATATCCATAATAGCCTTCTGCAGCAGCCCATTCATTTTGCAGCAGTTGATGTGGGTCCAGGCTGTCAGGGCAGCAGTGATGTTCAGGTCTCACTCTCCTCAGACGTCACTTGCAGCTCTTCTCTGGGGACATAAAAGCATTTCCAGGCCAGGATTAAAGTGTAATTCATGTTAAGCAAAGGGTCCCAAGGTCCCTCAAATGTGTCCATCTGCGTAAAAGTTAGCATTTGCTAGATGTGGATTGGTTGACAAGTGAGGAAAAAATAGGGAACGAGGGAACCACAAAAAACTTAGAACATCTGTCTTTTCCTTCTGGCGGAACCACCTCAGCTGCTTCTTTGCCAAGTGGAGGAATGGTGGCTCAGCTCTGAGTGCCTAAGGCCGAGCCATCCTCCAGAGGAAGCTCATCTCTGCCACTTAAATCCACAGTCTCATTCTTTCAGTTTCCCAGAGCCCATGGTTGTAGCTAAATGTTTAAACACCAACTACCTGGTTTCATGCTCACTCGTTTGAGACAAGCTTTCTGTTCATCCCACTGTGAGCAGCACCTCGTCCCTGTCCTGGAGTGGGTGTGTTCAGTTATCATCTTACAACCACGGCCTCAGACTTGGAGGTGCTAATTCCCAGCCACTTCACACTCTGCTGCAAACCACCCAGTATGAGCTAACGGTCATCATAAAACAAAGCCAGCAGAGCCACATCAGCTGCAAAAAGCAGAGAGGTGATCCCGACACCACCTGAACCATCTCCCTTCTCCTCTTACCTGCACTTACAATTCTGTCTATGAAAATTATGCACAGTGAAAAACCGCAGCTCTCATCATCATCCTAACAACATATCGAGGCTTGTAGATCAATAAAATCATTGCTCGCATTCAGCAGAGAGAAAGTTGCTCCTGACATCAAACATGAGAAACTTTATATCTAAAAGAACTCTACTGCCATCAGGGCTTTTGCAGGAATGATGACATAATTTTCCAGGGAGCTGATTGGTTAGTAGGTGTTGGTTATGTACATGTTGAGTTGTTATGTCACATAAGTGAAACACCTGCTTCATAACACATGAGGTTACCTCACTAAGCCAGTAATCTTGCAAGACTCTCAAAGCAACTCAGAGAAATTAGAAAATAATCCTCCCCATCACTCCTAAAACTGATGCCATATCAAACTGTTTTGATTTGAAAGGTGTGAAAACAACCATAAAAATATTTCTGAATGAAAGTGGTTCGATGAGGGAAGACCCACATTCAGAGGCCAGCCTGAAAAAGCCTGAATAAGAGCAGTTCAGTGAGTCACACAAGCTCAGCGCTCACAGAAGAATAAACCTTAAAAGAAAACAACAGCATCCCTGCTGAGAAACATGGACGAGGCTCAGGTGTGTTATTGGGCTGCTTGGCTGTGTTGAACCTGCGCTGGACTCATAATCAGAAGATTATCAGTAAAACCTGGAGGGAAACAAACCACCTGGTGTCAGAGAGAGTCTGCCTTGGTCGCAGCTCAGCAATCCTGCTACAGGATAATATGCATGTAAAAAGCATGGAGTGTGCTGAGAAGGGCCTTACTTCCTGATCTTAATTAAAGTGAACAGCTGTGGAAAAATCTGAAAGTCCTCAGAACACTGGCAGGATTTCTCAGTGGGAGGCCCACGGGAAATCAGAAAACTGCCCCAGAAATTAATTAATACCAAACGAGATGAAAATTCATCAAGTTCTCAGGATTTTAACTGTAGACAGACCTGCCCCACTAAACATGCACTTGGAGCCATGGCCACAGTGAAGCGATGACCCCAGGGTCTGAAAAATAAATCCATTGTAGTGAAATCAAAACCTGCAGTTCCTCTAAAATCCAGCAGAGGCTCCCTCAGTGAGTCAGTCCCCACAGACTCCCACATTAAAAAACTCTCGATAGATAATAAGGGACACCCCCATTAGCCCCTCCGGTGAATCAAAGCTGCAAAAAAAGAGCTTAATTTCTAGCACCGTTCAAAGGTCTACTGTATTTCTCGCACCATAAGGCACACCAGATTATAAGGCACATTAAGCGAAACAAAACAGTCAGATAAGTCAAACTTTACTCAAGCCACTCTTCTTGCTTCCTCTACTTCTGTACCATTGATTCATTCTCTTGCAGCTGCTTTATTCCCATGTTTCAGTATATTAATGACTAACCTCGTATTGTGGATGGATTATCTCAGTTGTTCTCCTGACTGAAGTTTGGTCCGTTTACAGCATCCTGCTATGTGATTGCATTTGTCTCTAACCATCTGGAATGCTCCCATTAAATTTTATGGAGTGGAAAAAAGTTAGCATTCATCCTCCAGCTTCACTGTGTTTGTTATGCTTACATAGCTGTGTAACTAGCAATCACGTAGCACATCATTATATACCAGCCCTACAAAAGTCACTGCTGTTTAGTTTTCTGTCCTCATTTATGTTGGAAGTGATAGCAGAGCTGTATGTTTTAATTTTTTCAGACTATTTTTTCTATGACATTTGTACGGAAGAAGATTAGGGCCACAGGAAGAAGAAAAAAAGTGTGAACGTCTTCTTCTTTTTTTCTTCTTTTCCAGAATTCTGAGAAAAAAGTCAGAATTCTGACTTTAATTTCAGAATTCTGGAAAAGAAGAAAAAAAAAGACGTGCCCACTTTTTTTTTCTTCCAGTGGCCCTAATCCTCGTTCGTAGATTTGCATTAGTTTTGGTTTTTAGGTGATTTTTTTGCTCTACTAAAGAATAAATGTAACGTATTTCGGCAGTAACACATCTGGGGCCACAGCTGTGCACACTGGTACCTCATCTGGAGAAGAGTGGTTGATTATTCTTGAGCTTTGTTGGGAATAAATGTGCATTAATTAGCTCAAAGAGATTTTTTTCTGCTTTCATACGGTGACTACACATACTCAGGGAGGGACTGAAGCCAATCCAAGCAGCTGCTGTTGCCCCTCCAGAGGAATCATTTAGCTGGCTGTCATCTTTAATTTAGTTCCACCTACTGTCCACAAACTCAGGTGTGGCTCCATGCTGGCGAGAGATGCTCCGTTCTGCTTTTGACCTTTGAGCTTCTGATTCGGTTAAAAACATCCACCACAGTTCCACAGCTTCCATGACTGATGGAGACGACCCCCTGCCCCTTCTCTGCACCAATCAAGTCATCATCATGGCAACCAGTCGATTCACAGGAACCAGCCAGACACCAATCAACCTCCTGCTACATGAATCTGAGTGTGTGTGTGTGTGTGTCACAGAGGTTATTTTTGTTCGCTGAAAATAAAACTGAAGAAAAACAACGCGATGCTGACCCCCCTTTAAACTTGTCAGATTATTGTGACCTCATTAGAGCACCTCCTGCCGAGTAATCACTGTCATTTATTTATTCATTTAAGAGCTGCCACAAAATCAATGTGATGAAACACTGAAACACTCTGTAAAACCCTCTAAGTTTTGTCTGCACAGTTTATATGTTGTATATTTTGAATCTTGTTTTCACCTGTTTGCATCACAAACTGTATATTCAATTTAATTCAATTCAGTTTTTTTTATATATAGAGCACCAAATCACAACAACAGTCACCTCAAGTCACTTTATACTGTAAGGTAGAGACCCTACAATAATACAGAGAAACCCAACAATCAGAAGACCCACCATGAGCAAGCTCCATGATAGTAGGAAGGAAAAACTCCCTTTTAAGAGGAAGAAACCTCCAGCAGAACCAGGCTCAGCTTTTTGAACCCCATTGTGGTTTTCACCATCTTGTTTCTAAAACCAGAAGTGTTATATTTGGATACGTTATTAGCCAGTACTACCTACCAGTGTTGGCAAACTACAGGAAGTAGTTTGTTTAGATGCTGTTAGTACAGTTACCTCACAGCAGCCATAATATTGGTCACATCATGTCATTAAAATGCTCCAAAAGGCTTCAGTTCTAATAATCCCAAGCATTTCACTACATATCGTACTGTGTATGACTGTGTATGTGACAAATAAAATTTGAATTTGAATTTGAATTCAGCAGCACAACCATGGTCCAGAGATCCACTTCAGTTAGTTGAGGTGTAACCTAGCAGGCAGCTATCAGCTACAGCTGGCTGTGTCGTGTTGTGGAAATTTTAATTACCAAATCCTGCAGACACGATGAGTTGTAACAACACCTTTATTTCAGCTATCTTATGCATAAGGAGGGACGTCAGTCAGGGGGCACTGAAAGTCGTCTCTCACAATGAACAGTTCAGGTTCCTTTTATACACAGTCGCAGAACAAAAGGCTTTTACAGTTGCAGTTCACACCTTGGCTCTAAACAGAAAGACTCTCTATCACCTGTGTGAATCTCCCCCCCTCTGGGGTCAAGTCTTCCTGTGTGAGCTTCCGTCTCCTGGCTTTCGTCTCCTGGAAGACATTCACCAGTTTCTCACCGTCTGTTTTCCGGCGTGAATGAGGTGTGAACCAGATGTACTAAACTAAGTAACATGAAAGCATTTCATCAAGACAATACATTAAAGGACAATACATTAAAGAGAAATCCCACAACAGTCGCCATTCACCTGTCAGTCAAAGAAGCCACGCCCCTAATAATGCAAACTTTAAACAGGTGTGTTATTAAATACAGGCGTTAGGAAAAGAGAACAGTTTCTGTATCCGGCTGTAAACATGTCTAAGTGTGCTGATGATGTTTATATGATGTGAAACTTCATGTAAATTAAATTGAATATTTGTGCTGAATTTTTTGTCGCAGTGTTCGTTTGTGCCTCCGTGTGAGAGGGACAACCAGAAGAACAGAGACAGCGTTCTGTGGTGGGAGGATTACTTCACCAAAGAGGTCAACAGCCAGTCGTTCATCTGCTTCTTCAACCAGCAGCGACGGTGAGGCTCACGCACACGTTTACAGCTCAGTCTATTTGGAGGTGCGATTCAGATAAATTGGAAATCAAAGAAAGTGTGATCCTGTCACATCATTGTTACCACAGAAGACGAATGACCGGACTTTCTGACAGACACACTTTTCACTTTCAAATTTGCTGTTCCTGACCTTTGACCCTCAAGAAGTGACCTCTGACTTCATTTTAATAGTCTTTCCACTTCCACTTATAATTAAAGTCATTTTTTTGTCAGTGCCCTAGAAGGATTCAAACTTCATGCTTATACTTAAAATTTTTATATAAATTCAAATTTTTATTTCTTTTATGCCATGTTTTACCTACTGTCTAATAATACCATCATATTATTCATTTAAAGGTTTATCTTACTATAGTTTTATTGTAATATTCATCTTTTCTTCTGGTTTCATTAGTGCTCTGTGTGCATTATACATGATTTCTATTTACATTTTGCTTTCAGGGTGAATTTATGTTGCAGGTTCAGATGAGAAGTGGTATCTTAGCTCTTTAACTTTGATGCATTTTTAAGAAATGTTCATTCATGCTTATTTGAATATTTAAATACATAAAAAATATACATATAAAACATGATGAAAAACAAAGTGATTATACTGCATTTTCAAGCAAAATCCTGTCAAATGCCAAAAATCCTCAAACCGTTGGTCTTTCAATCGTTGGACCAAAAATTGTTTAAATTAATAAAAAAATAACCTTTAATTAAAATCCCAGAGCCACTTCATTCATTCAGATTTTAAATGCCTTATACATTATTGTTATTTTAATTAAAAAAATGTGAAACATCAATTCAGGCTCCAGCCTGAATTCTCAAAATATATCTTGTTAACCAGTGAATAATTTCAGTCCATAGAACATGGAACAAGTACAAAATTAAACCTAAAAAAATCAGTCGTGTACCGTCAGCAGTGACGTTGTCAGGAATTCGGGTAGATGATGCTACAAACTAGATTATCACACTAATCAGAATGATTTTTTCTTCCAGAGTGAAAATAAGACTGCAGAGTCAAATAGAGACCAGCAGAAAAAAATGACTTTGCTGTTCATCTAAAATAAGATATTTTGACTTTCTGAATTTCCTTTATCACACTACCGATGACATAAAGGTGAAAATGTAGGTCAACAGTATGATGAAGGTGGATTATCAGAGGTGAGCAGGAGATACTGAGCAGAACAGCAGAAGGATGCTGAGGTTACAACCTGAAAATAAATACTGCAGTGAAACATAATAAGAGCAGGAGGAGAGATGTTTGAAGAAGCTCTTCTTTGCTCTCTTTTTATTCAGGCTCTGTCCAAAAAACTGATGAGACAAAGAAAAGCCAGAGATCTGCTTTAGCGTGTCAGCTTAATCCTCCGATAATTCACCGTCAGTGCTTACCTGTGACCTTGGTTAGTTTTATTTTTATCTCTGCACCAGAAAGATCCGAATGAGGAAATGCTGGTTCATAAATGAGGCCCCAGTGGGAGCTCATTGATGCTACACATCAGCTCTTCTTTGGTGTTTTAGAGAACAAACTGGAACACGCAAAGTTTCTTTTTTCATTAAGTTTAGAAAAGCATGTAGTCTCTAGATGTCTGGCTTATTTCAGAGGTGGCATGAAGGTTATATCCCAAAACTTTTTGGTGGTGTCAGTCAGAGTATGAGAGCTTAAATTAGACTGTGCACAGCTGGAGGAGATCTTTCTTCTGGTCACTTCCAACTCCCTAATTTTTATTTTGGGATTCCACTAGAGCATCGGCATGATTCACAGTTCACAAAATCCTTACTGATCTCATAATGGCCCAGAATTTAGATGCTCACTTCAGCATGAACTTTACTGAACACTTTTTAACCCTCATCCTCCATTTTCCCTCCGCTAATGTGTTTGTATTAGCCTAACCACAGCTCTATAGCTAGCCACCAGTTATCACACCACTATCTGTCAACTAGTAAGACTTCACCAGCCACCCAAACATTGCTGATATTTAATTTTCTGTCTTCATTTACAAGTAACAGCAGTGCTGTACATTTTAACTTTTTTGGACCCTGAAATGATTAAAGATGCTCCACAGCTAACTGTGGAGATGAAATTGTGCTCAGTTACACTGCAGATAGCTTAACTCTATTTTTGGGAAATTTGCTATGTTAGTTTTTGTTGTTACATAGAAGCAGCTTTGCCTTTCTTTGTTAAATTGTTAGGTGTACAATTCATTTTAATCATGTGAAGATTGAGATTCAGAAATGAGACAATGCCACTTTTCAAAAGGAGAGATAGATTTTGTTTATCTTTAGTAAGATGTCTATTTGAGTATGCCGATGTTGGATTGCAGTTAACGATATCCAGCTAATGTAACATTAGCTATACTACCTAAATGAATAACAACATAAACACTTGTTGAGTTAAGCAAGCTAGTCATTAAATATACTCCGAGTGAGGCCCATGGACCTTAACTGCATTCTTTCTGATGACCAGCAGGGGGCAATTCCTCTTATAGAAAAAAATCATTGTCATTACTGTGGAAAAATTACTCTACTGCTCACCTGATTCGGCACTTTCAAACAAAGCTTTCCTGATGGGATGTGATTAAGGGGGTGCTTGCTTCTATCTTGCTTTCATTGTCTGTAACATGAAATATTAGTAGGAAGCCTTTAATTTTAGTGACAGGAGATGGTTTGGTATGAAAAAGGAGTAAAAGTAGAAGGACCTGTAGGAGGTCAGTGAATTAACAGTCAATCCCAAGAGTAGTGTTTTAACACCATGTTAAATTTGTGCTTTTACTTTTTCTTCTTTTTATTTCAGGCCTGATGACGTGTTGTGGCGCCGTTCCCATGACACCAGTGTCCTGTTACACTGTGTTCTTTGGCCAATGGTTTCCCTCCTTCTGGGCACACTCATTGTGCTCCTGACGGTATGTGCTCGCTCCCTGGCTGTTCGAGCCGAGGCCCTCCAGAAGAGGAAGTGCTCCTATGAGGTCTGCCAAGACCTGTCTGCCATGCCACCTGACCGCTGCGGCAGCAAGGCCAGAGACCCACTCACGACAAACTCTGACCCCGAGCTGTCATCGCCCTCAAGGACCCTGCCGCTGTTTGCGGTCCCAGTGCGGCGCAGAGATCGGGAACATTAGAGCGAGCAGAAAGATGTTTCTTCAGCATGAAATCACTAAGAATGCCAATGAGCCGGTGGGCGAAGTCGACTTAATGGCTAAAGACGCCACCAACAACCCATTGCTGTCCGGACTGGTTGGTATGATCAGAATGTTTGAATGAGGTGAAGATGAGGGGACATCCACTGTTGCCTATAGATTTCAGCAGGAAGACTATACAAAACTTCAGACTTTTTCCTGATTTTAGCTTAAAGTGGATCAGTGGAAATCTTCTGACTAGCAATGAAAGGCTGTTTAAATGAGGGTAGTTGGTGTTGGGTACTGATAGCTGATTCTACTTTGGGTCTGGTTTCTAGTCATCAAGAAACCCAGACTTATTAAGTTCTGGTGTTTTAAGAGTCTCTTATCAAGTATCTTTATCTATTATACTTGTTCAGTCATTTCAGCTTATATGTGAGCTCCAATATTTGGATTATATAATTTGTTATAGACCAGCTATATAAATGAGTTTGTTCCAACTATTAAATGGGAAAAATCTGTATTCATCAGAGATCTTTCAGTGATCATCCATCAGTTTCTGGCTTCGTCCAGCAGCAACTAATCACATATAGAACAATATATGTTCAAGATATTCTGGGAATGGGGTAAAAGTCATTTAAATTTAACCATCTCCAGTTCAGATTATTGAACTGGAAGTCCCATTATGACCTACTTTTGCCTCAGCGATGAGAGCTGGATCTCCTCCAATCTCAAAACAATAAACACTGATCTTAATTTCAATTTTAGAAAAGTGGACAAAGTTGGATTGAGGTGAGTCTGGCAAATACACTGTCGCAAGAAAATGATTGAGATCAGCCAAATTTGAATCAGGTAGGGTTTTTGATTCTTAGAAATTTTTGACACCTTGTGCTGATCTTTGACTTGTGTTTTTAAGTTGTTATACAAAGCATGAAAGCTGAGATTCTATCAGAGATTTAGATTTAATAGGATGCTATCAAAGCCCAACCCAAACCCTCACGCTGTGATTGATGATGCAGTCAGGACAAGACAAGCATAAGGACTGACTCTTGGGAAGTAACTGCTCTTCTGTAGCTCTCTTATTAATGTAGTTTCCCTTCAAGTCCCAGTAGCCATGAATGTTTCTTAACAGAGGTGCAAAGTCCTGATGTTACCTTCAGGATTGTCTCTGCTGTTCTAGCTTGTGCAACTCAAGGCAGTCTTTTGCTGAGAATTTCTTTCATCAGTCTTCTAACAAATGAGACATATTACATATGTAAAGATAAATAGTTGTCTACTACAGCACTTTTATAGTACAATTTGAACCCTATAGGAGCTTAGCAATGATTTTGTTTTGTTGAAAAAAGTTTTTACCAGCACACAGTCACAACTGTTGTTTTCTCTTTGATTTGTATCAATGGTCATAGAAAATATCTGGATTGTTTAGTCGTCTCTTGTGCTCTTGGTTGTTTTCTGGTTG